TCTTCACAGGCTCGTCAGAATTCCTACTTTTCTGCGATCTGTCACCCTCCTTCGGCTTTTCGCGGATCTTTTCTACTTCTGGAGATCGTCCCCTTGCCCGATCATCTCTTTTCGCTTCCGATGCCTTCTTCGGCTGTTCTTTCTCTTTGGGTTCCTCCTCACTGACATGCGACTCATGATCAGAAGCAGCACTACTCTCTGATCCATGATGTTTCTTCTTGTGTTTATCACTGTGCTTCTTCTTCTTTTTCGCTTTCTTAGCTTTCTTCTTCTTGTGAGCTTCCTCATCAGATTCTTCACCCTCAGATGAAGAATGCGTGTGCTTCTTTTTGGAATCTTTAGACCTCTTTTTCTTGTGCTTCTTCTTCGCTTTCTTTTCCTCTTCTCTGTTTTCGTCCTTTTCGGAGCCACTGGATAGGTCGCGCTCGGGCTTTTGCTTACGATCACTTTTTTGTGAGTCCCTAAAATGTAAAATTTGTGATCCAATTTAAAGCGACAGGAGATAAGAAGAACAAGTGAGTACCAATGGAAAAATAACTAGACAAGAGGTTTTGCCGTATAAGATGTAAAAGGACGATAAATATGAAGCTCGCCTTGCTGCAGAATGCTCAACCGTATCTTTCGAACGCGACTCTTCCACATTCTTCTTTGGCTTCACTGATTTCGATGATTGCTTCTCTGGGGAACGAGGTCGTCTTTCAGAAGGTGAACTTAAAATACACAAAAACTAAAACTCGATACTGTTATAGCAAGGCCAAACTTACGGTGAACGCTGTCCTTTACTCGTTTTTTGTTTTGCTGCCTCTAGTTTCTCCTTGGTTTCTTCTCGTCCTTTCTTGTTGCTGGGGCTCTCGGAACGCGAACGGCTCCTTTTGCTCCTTGAACGGGTTGACTCAGATCTGTAAAGATACTTTGCACAACTATAATAACGAAATAAATAAAATAGTCTTACATCTATATGTAGAATGTTCACAGAAAGCTTACTGGCAAGAGGTAAGAAGAATCACTGAGACTTACTCTTTGGGATCCTTGGACCTAGCCTGCTCATCCTTTCTTGATCTAGAAGTTGGCTTTGAATCCTTCGCAGGTTGCGGAGATCTGGAGGTAGTTTGGATTTTAGGCTTCGCTACTGTCTTTCACAATTATATTTAACACACTGAACTGATGGAAAATAAATAATGGACACACCTCTGCCTTGGTGGAGGCGATTCAGAAGCTTTTCTCGGCTTCTTCACATCGGATGGTGCACGACGTTTCTCAGCTAAAAGGGAGACCTCATCAATTCAAAAGAATTACGTTCAAAGAGAAAAGCAAGAACAAACAGTACCCGGCTCATTTGATTCCTTTCGTCT